CCCCAAACACCCGCCCCACCCAGCGCCTGCCCCCCAACCCAGCATCTGCCCATCGCCCAGTGCCTGGCCCAGCCCAGCATCCTCACTACACAGGCTGGATGTGCTGGCCTCATCTCCCCCACACCCTCGCCTGGCCCACCTGGTATTGAGAAGGTGGTGGTGCTCATGTGCCACTCCCTGACGTCAGCCTGGCCCTGCTCTCCCTGGGGCATGACATTCTGAGCGCCTGGGCTGCGCCGTTGGCCCCTGTGGCTATGTGTGTCCTGTGGGGCTGGTCTGGCCTGGGTCAGCTTCCTCATGCTGCACTGAACACCTGGCCTGGGGGAAGAGGCTAGCTCTCCTGGAGGGGATGTGGAAAGGTGGCCAAGCTTCCAGCCCAGAAGGGGTGCTGTCCTTGGGTGCTGAGGGGCAGCTGTCTTGGGATGGGAGGTGCTGTGCTTGAAAGTATGGTGTGTCCTTGCGGGGGCTGTCCTGGGGGGTGCTGTGCTCAGAGGTGTGGTGTGTCCTTGCGGGGGGGTGTCCTTGCGGGGGGCTGTCCTGGGGGAAGCATTGTCATGGGTGGTGCCGTCCTTGGGAAGGCACCTGTTTGCGCTTTTGGACCACCCTGTGCCCCCTCGCAGATGTCCTGATTTGCTGAGCAGGGGTTTCTGAGGCCACCCTGCATTGAGAACCACTGCTTGGTTCCCCCAGCCCTTGACATGTCAGGCCTCATTGCCAGGCCCTGCTGGGGTGATGGGAGCCCCACTTGCTAGGGCTAGGAGAGAAGAAACCCGTTTGCGGCTTTGAGCAGGACTGGAGACCTCCCCCTCACCCCTGCAGGGTGTCCCGTGGTCTCTGTAGCTGAACCCTTCCCCATGGTAGGGGCAGGGCTGCCCCACACGCGCCTGCAGAAGGGGTGTGCGCCCAGCTCCACTGTCCCTCCACACAGGCTCGACTTCAACGGCTTCTACACAGAGCGCCTGGAGCGCCTGTCTGCGGAGAGGAGCCAGAAGGTCGTCCCCCAAGTGCCTGTCCCTCGGGGGCCCCCGGTTCCTGCACCCAGGGTCGCGGTCACTGCGCAGTGAGCCATGGCCGCGACAGGAAGAAGGCGTGGGGGTCAGCAGCTGCTGGGGTGCAGATGGGTCCCGAATGTTCAAACGGAAATGCTCCGTGTCCTGTCTTTGCAGTTTAAATATAAACAGAACGATCGACGCAGCTCATTTTGTTTCTCAGGATGCTCAGTTTTTTATAGGAGCTACGCAGACAGGGTGGATGTCTCCCTGGATTCGCTGATCTGTTTGCTTTTTAAAATTACACTGTTACCTTTTTGGGTGTTTTTGGCTTCAAAGTGAAAATATGTGGTGTTTAAGCAAGAACCTAGCAAAGATACGTGGGGATGAGGTCCAGGCCTGCTGCCCACATCCAGGTGAGCTGGGGCTGGGCTCCCTGAGGTCGGCCAGAACCCGGAATCGCAGAAACCCCCTGGGCCTCTGGGGTTTGCTTTGGCTCTGGAGGCAGCCCCGTTCCTTCCGAGGACTCCCCCGGCCTTCCCCCCATTCCTTCTGAGGACTCCCCCTGGCTCCATGTTCCCCTCGTTCCTTCTGAGGACTCCCCAACTCCAGGCTCCTGCCCTCCTGAGGACTCCTTGGCTCCACACACCCCCTCCTGAGGAGTCCCCCTGCCCCACGTTCCCCCGCTTCCCCACCCCCGTTCCTTCTGAGGACTCCATGGCTCCACACACCCCCTCCTTCTGAAAACTTCCTTCGGCTCCACACACCCCCTCCTGAGGAGTCCCCCGGCCCCACGTTCCCCCTTCTTCTGAGGACTCGCCTAGCTCCACGCTCCCCCCCTTCCCCACCCCTGTTCCTTCCAAGGACTCCCCCGCTCCTCCTGAGGACTTCCTTGGCTCCTCACACCCTCTCCTGGGGAGTCCCCCAGGTCCACGCTCTCCCCGCTCCACCCCGTTCCATCTGAGGACTCCCAGCTGCACACTCCTCCTGGTCCAGGGCAGGAGACATAGGCAGGGCCCTCAGGCACCAGGGGAACCCAGACCTCCTCCTCCATGGGATGCACCCACTGAGAAGTAGCCTTAGGGCAGGCTCTGCTGCTGGCAGGAACCCCTGCCCTGCCCCGCCCTGCCCCATCCCATCCTCGGCTGCCTTGTGGCGGAGAAGTTACTCAGCAGACTGGCACCCCACCCAGTCCCTCTCGGGCGGTCATCTGCCCTCTCTCTCCCACGTTCTCCAGTGCCAGCCCTGGTGTGACAGGGCCCTGTTCCTCACGGCAGCCCTGGCCAGGGTGGCCTGCTCTGGCTATGCTCCGGCCAAGCTGCTCCTTCCTGCGGAACTGCATGTATGTGTCATCACAGTTCAGCTCAGTGCCCTCTTGGATGGCGAGGAAGGGAGGAAGAAGTAGAACAGAGGGTCCTGTGTGGGGGACAAGGGCGTGGGCGGCCCTCTCCCAGGCTGCCTTGCCATGAGCACAGCAGAGCGGGGGTGGGGGGTGTCCGACTGTACAGCCACAAACTGCTTCCTCTCCTTGTCTGTGGCCTGTGAGTAAACATGTTTATCAGCAACCTCGGGGTTGTGCAAACGCCAGACGTGTGAGCAGAGGAGCCTGCTGGCTTTCCTGCCTGGCCCTGAGGCCTGGAAACCCCGGGTCTTGTGTCCTGGGCTCTGGGAAACCCTGGGCCTTGAGAAGTGGGGTTTGCAGGTGGTGAGGCTAGGAGGGGAGGGGAGCCTCCAGGGTTGTGGAGTCCAGGTTCCCAGACCCCTTGGTGCCTGCTGGGTGGAGTCAGTGGAGACGGGTGAGGTGTCTTCTATGGGATGGGGTGGGACTTCCTCAGCCTGGTAGGAGCCCGTTCTGGCCTGAGCGCATCCTGTCTGTTTAAGACTAAATCGCTGGTAGCCAGCTGGGGCCTTGCTGTGCTGCTGGTGACCAGCATGCCGCGTTTGCACTTGTGCTGGACTAATTTGCACAGGCCAGCATCCCCAGCCCTACCCGGGAGCCTCACCACATTCTCAGCAGCCTGGGGGGCCTCGTCCTGTGCCACAGAGTAGCCTCGGGTCAGGAGTCAGCAGAAGTCAGCTGCCACCCAGTGCCAGCCCTTGCCTTTATTTTTCTTGCTTTTCATGCCATTCATGTTGGGGTAAGAATGGCTTTGGGACAAAATGTTACAGCATCACTCAGGCCAGCTTAGATCCTCAGGGTTCCCTATCCTCCTGGTTAACGTCCAAGGCCCTGGCCTCTTCCTGCCACTGCCCCTTGACCTCTGTCCTCCGCCCTGGGCCCATGCAGGCCCCTGCCTCACGCTGCCCTGGGGCTCTCTCTCCAGGCAGGACTCACTCCTGCCTCCCACCCATGCTGGCCCTGCCCCACTGCTCCCCAGGCGGCGCTGAGCCCTCACTGTATTGTCGGTGGAGTCACTGTTTCCATCCCAGGAGGGAGGCCTGGCTGTGGAAGCCCCCGTGAGGGGTCCGGGGTGGGCCGTCTGAGGAGGCCGTGCTGTCAGCCTGCACCTGCACCCTCTAGGCTGAACCCGCCTTGGGGAATGTGCCCACTGGGGCCAAGCGCCCCGGAGAAGCTGGAGCCAGGCCACGGTCTGTGTCGACCGGCGTCAGCTGCCATCTGGGGATCGTAGGCTGAGGACGGCCTCTGCACCTGCCATCACCTGGGGCTCACCCCCCCCCCACTTGGCCACCTGCGGGCCCATGCCTCTCCCACTTCAGCGAGGCCTCAGAGCCTGTGGAGGGGGTGCTGGGCTTGGGTGGAGCGCAGCAGCCCACAGGGCTGACCTTATGCCCACGAAGCCGTGACTTGTCCCTGCCTCGAACTGTCTGTTCCCAAGGAAGTCAGAGCCCGCCTCTCCTGAAACCACGAGGCGGCCATCACAGGTCCCTTCCCCTCCAAGACCTGCCCGGCGCCACCTCCTTCCAGCCGCCCGTCCGCCTCTCAGGCCCCCGTCGGGGCTCTGGCCGGACTTGGGACAGGCTGTGCCTCAGTTTCCTCACCTGTGCAAGGGAGGAAGCAGGATTGTGGAGAAAGGAGGGAACGGACCCCGCCCCTCCCGCCAGCGGAGGGGCCCATTGGCTGAGGGCGCCGGGGCGGGGCGCGAGGAAAGAGCCGCGGGCGGGGCGCGCAGGAACCAGACCTGGTCCCGCGGGGCTCTCACCTCCGCGCCGGTCCGCATCCGACTCCACCGCGCCCCGGCAATGCGCGGCCTCGGGCTTTGGCTGCTGGGCGCGCTGGGGCTGCCTGGTGAGTGGTTCCGGGGGGCAGCCGTGGGCGCGGCGCGGGGCACCGTGGCTCTCCCCGCAGGACGCGAGCCCTGAGCCTCTGGCCTGCGCGCTCCCCGCGCCCTGGCCCGGCTTCGGCTTCAGGCTGGTCCCGGGTGCCGGGGTGGCTTGCGCAGTGGCCTCTGGGTGGAGAGACCCGGGCCGGGGAGGCCGAAGGTGAACTGAGCGAAGTCCCGCCTCAGGCGGTCCTCAGCTTATTAGTGGGGTCGGGGCCAGGCCAGCAGGGCTGAGGACGCGCGACCGCTTCACCTGCTGCGGAAGGTGCCCTGGTTTCTTGGGATTCACCTGTGGGGCCACCCACCCTCACCATTTAGCCAGGGAGGGAAGGGAGGGTAGAGGAGCCGGGGCCTGGAGTTCAGGGCGTGGGCAGGAGAGTCCCCCAACCCCGTCTGCCGCCTGGGGCAGGACGTGGGGCCTCTGGTCCTGGACCCCACCCCTGCTCCTGGGAGTGACCTGGGCTGGGTTGTGGTGGGGAGCTTCAGGGTGGAGGCTGGGGTGCTCCCCACCAGCTTCCTGGGCAGATGGGGCCGGCTGCTCCTCTGCTGCCTCTCCAGGTTGGAGATGTGGTCCTAGAGACACGTCCATTATTGTTTTAACGGGAGAAAAGGGTCCTGGGTTGGCGGTCTCCGAAACTCTGCCCATTGCAGGCCGGGTCCCTGCCCTCTGGTCTTGGATACGAGGGTGTTTCCAGTTCTTGGGAGGTGAAGAGCCTGGGCGAGGCCCTTCCTGCTCCCCACTTACATGGTACCAGATGATCAGACGAATGGAGGGATGGAAATGGCCCTACCCGCCGGCATCTTCCTCCCCTGGAGGAAGGTTTATCTTTGCCCTCAGGCCCTTGGAGAGGTCAGAGAGCAGCCTGGGGGCCTGTGGAATCACTGGCGCCCACAGGGGCTCTGAGTACTGTGTGTGGGCGCTGGAGGACACAGGCTGTGCCTGGGGGACTCCTGGAGTCTTTAGGCACAGAACCCTCACTTGAGTGTCCCTGAGTTATCTGGTGATTTCCCCGGGGGAGGGGCGGGCCCAGGAAGGGGCAGAATCTGAGGGCCCAGAAGGCCTCTGGGAAGGAGCTCCCCCCACCACGTGCCTGCTGACCCTCCCTCCTGCAGCCATGGCCCCCAGCCGGCCCTGGGCCCCCTTGGAGCAGTATGAGGTGGTGCTGCCTCGGCGCCTGCCAGGACCCCGGGCCCGACGAGCTCTGCCCTCCCACTCGGTGAGTCTAAGCTGGCCTGGGGGTGACCCCGGCTGGCCTCTGAGTCTGTTTCTGTGAAAGGAGCTTTAGCTTCCAGGAGGTGGTGAGAGGCCAGGTGGGCGTCTGGGACTGCCCTGTTCCTCTCCAGCCCATCTGCGTTCCTCCCACAGCACTGCCTGGGGGCCCACGGCAGGAACCCTATGGGCCCCTGGAAGGCAGCAGGGGCAGATTGTGCTGGCCCTGGCCCTGGCCCCGCCCCAGTTTCACTTGGCAAGGCTAATAAGCCAAATTCCTCTTTGAGAAGTGAGCTGGCTCACCGCAGACTTGGCACACCTTCCTGTGTGAGGCCTGGCGGGGCTCCCTGGGGCTGGGGAACTGAGAGTGGCCGCCCCCCACCTGCGGGGCTGCCCCAGGGTGATTCCTGAATCCTGAGTGGGGGGTGTGCACACATGTGCACTGCATGCCTGTGGATGCCTGTTTCCAGGGAGGGCAGCTCCGGCCCAGCCCTGTCCTCACCTCACCTGCCCCCTGCCCTGGGATCTCATCAGCCAGGGGCACAGTTAAGGCTGTTTGGGGGGCTCAGCAGGTCGAGTCCCAGCCTGCACGTGGGGGCTGGAGACACAGTGGGTGAGGAGGAGGCTCTTCGGGCACTGCCAGGTCTGGCAGCTGCTGGGAGGGACAGGGCTGGAGGCAGGCGGCTGCCGTTGGAGGGGCCTGTGTCTGCCGCCCCGCCGTCCACATCCTTTGTTGCCCGGCCAAGGCTTGGGGAAGGGGCACTGTCATTACCCATGCATGGTCAGATGGGGAAACTGAGGTGTGAGGCGCCCCATGTCCTTCCTGTCACCCAAGTGCTGTGCCCCACCTGTCCCTTCCAGCACAGCCCGCCCCACCCCACCCGCCCTCCACTTTCACCCTCTACTCTGCCTGAGGCTGTGGACACCCAAGGCTGGAGCCTTGGCCTGGGGCTGGAGGCCAGCACCTCTTCCCCACCCAGCTGAGCTTCTCTGGTGCCCAGGATTGAGGTGGGTGCAGCCCAGGCAGGCTGCTCACCCAGGGCCCCCCCGCTCCTTCAGGGCCTGTACCCAGAGAGAGTGAGCTATGTCCTTGCGGCCGCAGGGCACAGCTTCACCCTGCACCTGCGGAAGAACAGGTGAGTGGGTCAGGTCGCTCCCCCGCACCCCCCTCCGCTGCCTGGGTCTGGCTCCAGCACACCTGTGTCCTCAGTGTCCAGCCTCTGGGCCAGCCTCTCTGCACCAAGGGGGCCAGACCACGGGGCCGAGGTGGGGGCCGAGGCGGGGGGCCTGAGGCGGGGCCGAGGTGGGGGTCGAGGCAGGGCTGAGGCGGGGCCCGGGGCGGGGGGCCCGAGGCGGGGCCGAGGTGGGGGTCCAGGCAGGGCTGAGGCAGCCACAGAGCTTCTTTTCCAGGGACCTGCTGGGCTCGGGCTACACAGAGACCTACACAGCTGCCAATGGCTCCGAGGTGACGGAGCAGCCGAGAGGGCAGGTATAGGTGGGGTGGCCTTCCCTCCCCGAGCCTGTGGGGCCGTGGGGGCACAGCCGTGGACCCTCTCGTGCTTCCCCCGCAGGACCTCTGCTTCTACCAGGGCCACGTGGAGGGGCACGCAGACTCAGCCGCCAGCATCAGCACCTGTTTGGGCCTCAGGTGGGTGGGGGGACGAACACCAGAGCTCCGGCAGCCGGAGAGGAAGGCCTAAACCGTGTGGGAGGCCGCCTCCTTCTCACATTCAGGCCTTCCTGGTCACACAGAGGGGTCTGCTCTGGGGCCCTGCCAAGCCCAAGAGGCTCAGCCTCCTGTACCCTCGGGCCTGCTGGTGTCAGGGCAGGGGGCGCTGTGGGCAATGAACTCCAGCTTCTGGTCCTTCGGGGCAGGGGCCGGCCACCCTGCAGCCATGGCATACCTGGCTCCTGCTGCCCTCAGGGGCTTCTTCCAGGTGGGCTCAGACCTGCACCTGATCGAGCCCCTGGATGAAGGTGGCGAGGGCGGGCGGCATGCCATGTACCCGGCTGAGCAGCTGCTGCAGACGGCCGGGACCTGCGGAGTCAGCAACGACACCCTGGGCAGACTCCTGGGGCCCCGGACAGCCGCCGTGTTCAGGTCTTGGCCTGGGGTGAGCACCTTGGTCTCCGAGTTTGCCTGGCCTTTGAGTCCCTGTGCACTTCATGCTGCCCACTATGTGCAGCCTGGAGCAGGCCTGGTGATGCTTCCCCAGCACTGGGTGGGGGCAGGACACTGGCCGAGGGGCCTTGAGGGAGGGTTCAGGCCCTGAGGCTGGGAAGGCTATTTGGCTTCTTGTGGCTGTTCCCCAGGGCCCTCCGTCGTTCAGAGGCACGCGCTACGTGGAGCTGTACGTGGTCACAGATAATGCAGAGGTGGGGTGGGTGCGGGGGTGGGGAAGGCGGGAGGGTGGCGACGGGGGGCTGAGGGGTGGGGAAGGTGGCTGGCTGTGGGTTGGGGGGCTGGGGAAGGTAGGAGGGCCGCCGATGGGGGGCAGGCGTGGGTGGGGTGGGCTCCAGCCTGAGGGTCTCGTGTGTCCAGTTCCAGCAGGTGGGGAGTGAAGCCGCTGTGCGCCATCGGGTGCTGGAGGTGGTGAACCACGTGGACAAAGTGAGCAGCCGCCCTGACTGCGGGGGTGCTGAAGCCCCTGGCGGGTGGGTGGGGGAGTGTTGCCATGGGGTTCCTTCCGCCTGCTCTGGCTCTGCCTGGCACCCGTGACCAGCCCCGCCTCACAGCGGGACAGATGTGGCCTCTGCCACCCTCCCCATCGTACCTTCGCCACCCCTCCTGAACCCCTGGACTCCCCCACCTCTCCAGCTATATCAGAAACTCAACATCCGTGTGGTCCTGGTGGGCCTGGAGATCTGGAATGGCCAGGACAGGTTCCACGTCAGCCCCAACTTCAGCGTCACACTGGAGAACCTCCTGGCCTGGCGGGCACAGGGACTGACGCGGCGGCGCCCACATGACAACGTGCAGCTCATCACGTGAGCCGGGGAGCAGGTGGGGCTGGGGAGGGTGTGTGGGTGCAGTTGGGTGGGGTGGGCAGGGTGTGGGAGGGGGGGCAGGCAGGGCTGGGGCAGGAGGAGGGGAGGGAGCTGCATCCAGGGCACCTGAGTTACTCTCACTTCCAGGGCCGTGGACTTCACCGGGGACACTGTGGGGTTTGCCAGGGTGTCTGCCATGTGCTCCCACAGCTCGGGGGCTGTGAATCAGGTGAGGGGGCCCCTGCCCCGGATTGCCAGGCCGGAGTCACTGGAGCAGGCCTGAGCAGCTGCCTCCCCTCAGGCTTGGTTCATGCCTGATTTTATGCCTTACGGTGGTGTTGGTAGGGAGCTGTGCCAAGCCCTGGGCCCTGGTGGGGTGAGGCTGACGGGTGTGGGGGGTCAGCCACGTGGTTCCTGAGAGCACGGTCCCCTCCCACAGGACCACAGCAAGAACCCCGTGGGCGTGGCCTGCACCATGGCCCACGAGATGGGCCACAACCTGGGCATGGACCACGATGAGCAGGTCCACGGCTGCCACTGCCGGGAGCCCTCCGAGGGCATCCGCTGCATCATGGCAGGCAGGATTAGGTGAAGGGGCTGGGCCCTGGGCAGCTGGGAGTGCAAGGTCGGTGGGGAGGGGCTGCCCCTCCCTGACAGGCCGTCCCCTCAGCCCCAGGTTCCCCAGGATGTTCAGTGACTGCAGCCAGGCCTACCTGGAGAGCTTTCTGGGGCAGCCGCAGTCCACCTGCCTGGCCAACGCCCCCGACCTCAGCCTCCTGGTGGGCGGCCCAGTGTGCGGAAACCTGTTTGTGGAACGTGGGGAGCAGTGCGACTGCGGCCCCCCCGAGGTGCGCCCACGCCCCACACCCGCTTGTCCCTCACCTGCCCCTGTCTGCGTGGTGCCGAGACCTCTGTCCCTTTAGACCAAGGTGACTGCCACAACCACATGCGGAACCCAGGGCTCCGTGTGTCCGAAGGGGTCAGAGGGAGGGAGCGGCTGCAGGACACCCCAGTGGTCAGGGGAGGCGGCCGGCCCATCCTACCCCGGGCAGCCTGCCGAGGCCTTTGCCCTTTGCTGTTGCCCCAGGAATGCCGGAACCGCTGCTGCAACTCCACCACCTGCCAGCTGGTCCAGGGGGCACAGTGTGCACATGGCACCTGCTGCCAGGAGTGCAGGGTGAGTGCAGCCTCCTACCAGGGACTCCCGGAGCCCACAGTGGGAGGGGACCCCCAGAGCCCACGGCTGGCAGCGCAGCCTCCCACCAGGCACCCCTGGAGCCCACAGCGGGCAGGTGGGAGGGGACCCTGGGGCGCAAGGGACCAGGCAACTTGCGTGGCCCTGTCCCCATGGTGAGCTGTTCTCTGCTGGGCCAGGTGAAGCTGGCTGGTGAGCTGTGCCGCCCCCAGAAAGACACGTGTGACCTGGAGGAGTTCTGTGACGGCCGGCACCCCGAGTGCCCGGAAGACGCTTTCCAGGAGAACGGCACGCCCTGCTTTGGGGGCTACTGCTACAACGGGACCTGCCCTACCCTGGCCCAGCGGTGCCAGGCCTTATGGGGGCCAGGTGAAGTGGCACAGAGGTGGCCCGGCAGGGAGGCCACAGGCCTTGCCACAGGCTAACCCTAGCTCCTTGACCCGCAGGTGGGCATGCTGCCAAGGAGTCCTGCTTCCTCTACGACGTCTCACCAAACTGCAGGAGCAGCCGGAACAGGTGAGCTTTTGAGACCAGATTCCCCTAAGCCCAGATGACGTGATGTTCCCACAGCTGGGCCAGCCCCAGAGGGCCCTCCACAAAGGAGTCCTGCCCCCAAGGGGTCTGCCCTGGACCCATGGACCCCAGGCTCAAGCGTGCCGTATTGTGGGAGAGGTGGGTCACCGTGGCCCCAGCCTGCCATGGCTCCTGGCCCCCAGCACGTGCCTGGGCGAGCTGGCCCACGACCTGCCCTCTGTCCACAGAGCCGACATGTGTGGCACTCTGCAATGCCAGGGCGGGCAGCATCCCCCGGGGCGCAGCTCCTGCATCCTGAATGACGTATGCCGTGCACTTACCACAGAGGGTGGTGTTGCCTATGAGCCAGTGCCCGAAGGCACCCGATGCGGACCGGAGAAGGTGAGCCAGTGGCTCAGAGGCTGCCCCACCCACAGGCATTGCGAGCGTGTGCCCCATGTGGGCACGGCGGATGCGTTTCTGAGCTCAGCAGCTGCTTGAAACTGTAGGAAGAGTTCTCTCCACACTTCTAGTAGAGGCTGAAAGGCTGCTGGGGTTGGAGGCGCAGTTCTCAGTTCATCTGATGGCTGTCGCCAGCTGCCACACGCCCCAGGGGGGCTGTTTCCAGGGGCTCCAGGGGTGGGCAGCCAGCAGATATGCTGAGGCATGGCCATCCTGGACATGGTGACCACAGCCCACTCTCCAGCTTACCCAGCGGTTTCAAAGGACACTGGCAGGGCAGGGGTCCAGAGCGGCTGCCTGACAGACACCTCCCACCCCCAGGTTTGCTGGAAAGGACGTTGCCAGGACTTACACGTTTACAGATCCAGAAACTGCTCTGCCCAGTGCCACAACCATGGGGTACGTGTGGCCTCTCAGGACAGTGCCCCTGGAGCCGGTGCTGGGGGCAGCTTTGGTCACAGAAGCCTAAGGTTGGGTGAGCCCAGCGTATCGTATCTATGGGGGTCTTGGTGGGGCCCGACTCAGGGCTGAGGCCGGCCTGGTGTCCTCCGTGGATGGAACTTCCGTGGCCACTGGCCAGTGGTCAGGGGTTACTCAGCGAGGCCTTGCTGTCAGTGCACGAGAGTGGGGGCTTAGGGGGCCCTCAGTGGTGGGGCCGGCCAGGGGCCCTGGTGCTGGACGCACAGACCCCACTGCCCCTTGGAGTCCGCACTGGGATTGGCCCTGAGCCTGGCCATCCCCACAGGTGTGCAACCACAAGCAGGAGTGCCACTGCCACGCGGGCTGGGCCCCACCCCACTGTGCGGAGCTGCTGACTGAGGCGCACACAGGTAGGGCTCCCTGGCTAGCACAGGTGGGGCTGGGGCCCAAGCTCACAGGCCCCAAATGGAGCCAGGAACCTGGTGGTGGTCACAGTGCCTGTCTGCCCCCACGGACGTCCCCCACAGGGGTAGGCAGAGCCTGTCTGCCCCTCAGGCCGCTGTGAGAAGGGGAGCCCTGTCCCAGGGGGAGGCGCAGGGGCCGTGGGCAATGTGAGTGCACGGCTGTGAGCTGAGACTGCAGTGTCCTCAGCCCAGTCTTCCAGGCCCTCCTCGGCCCATTTCCACCCAGCAGCCACTGGGCGCATGGTTGTGCAGAGCATCAGGCCTCAGAGGCACAGCTGTGCCCACAGCACTGTGAGCCCAGGGCCGCCCTGGTGAACTGGGAGTGCCGGTGTAAGGTGTCGGGTCGTCCCCGTGGGGCCCACAGGGTAGGGCCTGGGGCACTGAGGAAGGCAGTGGCTCTGGGAACCTCCCTGACCCCTGCCTGAGGCTGTGGCCCTCCTGGCTGACATGGGGCTGTGCGTCCCACAGCGTCCGAGAGCCTCCCCGTGGTCCTGGTGGTGGTCCTGGTGCTCTTGGCAGTTGTGGTGGTCACCCTGGTAGGCGGTGTCATCTACCGCAAAGCCCGGAGCCGCGTTGAGAGCAGGTGAGGGCGGCGGCGGCGGCTGTGAGGGAGGGTGGTGTGGGCGTCGGGTGCTCGGCTGTGGGGAACGTCTCTGCTGCCGGAGGGAGGAACGCCCAGCATGGACCCACGGGGACATCACGGATGCTGGGCTGAGCCCTGCTCTAGGGACCTGGATCCTCACACAGCAGGAGACGCCCATGCAGCAGGACGTGCTGGCTCCATAGCCTCCAAGCACCTCCCGCCCACCTAACTGGGGCCCCCAGGAGATGGAGGGTGTCCTGCCTCTTCAGGGTCCACTCCGTCTCCTGGGCCTGTCTGTCTCAGAGGTCCTGTCTGCAGTGACCTCTCTGTTTGCAGCCTCTCGGGTCAGCTGGAGCTGGGAGGAACAGACTCGGGGTGTGGTGCTGGGGCCCTGAGGCCGGACACTGACCACGTGCCCTGTGCTTCCTCCCCAGGAGCGCGGCCCCCAAGACCACCATGGGACGCTCCAACCCCCTGTTCCACCAGGCATCCCGCAGTGTGCTGGCCAAGGGCGGGGCTCCAGCCCCAACGAGGGTCCCCCACGAGCAGGTCCCCACCACCCACCTGGGCCAGCCTGCTGGACACCCGGCCTCCTCTATGGCCCTGAAGAGGCCGCCCCCTGCTGTAAGCAACGCCCCTGGTGGGTTCGTGGGGCTGAAAGCAGTGCCCAGGCCCCATCCTGCGACCCCGTGTGCAGCTGCCACTGGCAGAGCCCTTTTGTGAAATTTGTGTAGAGGACGGCGGTAGCCCGAGGCCCAGGGCAGCTGCTGTGGCTGCCCTGCTGGGAACACTGAGGCTTTGGGAATGGGTGCTTCCGGGCCCCCTTGAGCCGTGACAGAATCAGAACTTGAACTTGAACTTGGTGCTCTGAGGCCAGAGGCCCTTCCTGTCCTCAGCAGAGCCCACCTGAGGGCAGATGCAAATGCTCTTGGAGGAAAGGGTGGGCCCCCGTGAGCTGCGCAGACCCCTCCAGCACACGCGAGAGGCGGAACCTGGAGTCGCGGAGCTGGGGGTGCAGGGGGGGCATGGGGTTTAGCCCCAGCTGTGACCCAGGCTCTCGGCCCTGTCTCCTCCAGCCTCCGGCCGCTGTGTCCAGCACCCCCTTCCCAGTTCCTGTCTATACTCAGTTGCCGCCAAAGCAGGTGAGCAGTGTGATTGGGCAGTGAACCCATCGGAGGGCGTCCAGGCCTTGCTGTTGGGATTGGGGTCCCTGCACTGCATCAGGGCCGGGGACCTCCCAGGTGGCCCCCGCTGTGCACAGAAGGCTGGTTAGCTCGGCCTCATGAGGACATCAGCCTGAAAGGCAGGTCAGCAAGGCCTCGGGGAGGCAGCGGCTCCGTCCCGCCCTGCACTGGGGCTGGATTGGGGGTCCTGGCTCCTCCTTCAGCTCAGACTGTTCCGCTTACCAAGCCCCTCGCAGAGCTGAAGTTCCGGCAGATCCAAGGGTCCCTGGGCCCTGCAGGACAGATGGGTGGGCGGGCTCAGGGCAAGGCCGTGTTGCAGTGCTTCCCCTGGCTTTGGGGGTTTTGAAAAGATCTCTCAAAACCTGGATTTTGTATCGAGTGTTAACTCCCAGGCCTCCATGTCACCCCAGAGTTGGGATCCTGCCCCTGTGCCCTGGCTCCCATCTCTGTGCTAAACTTGGAGCCCTTTTTGGACCCTGTCGGGGCAGCCGGTTGGCCTCAGCCCTGGGGAACTGCTCTGGCCGTGGTGGGTAAGGACCCTAGAGCACCCTTCCTGGGGCCACTGGCTTAGCTAGGGCAGCAGAAAGGGCCAGGCTCTCTCTCTGGGGCCTGGCACGGGGTCCCAGTGGCACCATCAAGGCCACCTGGCATGGCTGGACTTTGTGAACAGTCTCTGTCCTCAAAGAGGGCAGGACTGTGGCAGGCAGGTGGGGGGCTCTGTGGTGCATCTCCAGGGACCTCCTTCCACAGAGGTTCGTGGTCAGCTTTAGGACGGGGTTGTGCAGGGAAGACTGGGCCGGCAAGACCTTACCCTCTGGGTAGAGGCTTTTCTTTGGTTAACGTTTAATTTTGAACAAATTTTAGACTTAAGGAAAGATTGCAAAAATAGCCTAGAGAATCCTGCATGCTCTTTGCCCGGCCTACCCCCAGGTCAGTGCCTGCATGTCCATGGGTGGCCACACAGCTGAGGGGCCACGTCACAGTGCCACGCACCTGGTGCCACCCACATGGTACTGCCCACGTCACAGTGCCACGCACCTGGTGCCACCCACATGGTGCTGCCCACGTCACAGTGTCACGCACCTGGTGCCACCCACATGGTGCTGCCCATGTCACACTGCCACGCACCTGGTGCCACCCACATGGTGCTGCCCATGTCACAGTGCCACCCGTGCGGTGCCACCCACTGTCTCCAGAACCGTCCTCTAGCCGTGATTCCCCTGGCACTGGGCCCCAGCCCCTCTGCCTTTCCTCAGCTGGGGTTTGTCCTGTGCTTTCCTCGTGTGGATGAAGGCAGAGTGCTGTGGGCAGGAGCAGCATTGGAGGCGTCTTTCCCAGGACGCGGCCCAGGCCTGGCCACATGCAGCGTCGGTCAGGGGTGATGCTGACAGGGCGCCTGGCTGGGGCAGCGTCCATGGATTTTTCCCTAGAAACCCCCGTTGTCTTTGTATAGTTAGCAGATGCCTCGGGGAGACATCTGAGACTCTAAACCTTGAACTTGGACCCACGAGCTCTGGGGAATCTTGTCTGCACCAGTTGTTCTGTGCTGTTTGCCTAATAGTGATTTCCTATTTCTCTCTTTCCTTTTTAATTTTTTATTTGAACTAACTTCAGACTTATACATGAGTTGCAGAAATAGTCCTAGAAGGGGTCTGGACAGGCAAAACAGGGACCTGGGGGCAAAGGTTTCTGGCCACGGAAGCGATGGTCGCCAGGCGCAAAGGTAGGTGAGGCAGAGGCTGCAGGAGAACTACAGGAGGGAAATCGCCTGCCCTCACGCCCGCCAGCCTCCCCTGGCTGCTCAGCAGGGGCCTTTGGAAGCTGCTGGGAACAGCAAATGCTCAGCCTGCCCAGGCTCCGGGTGACGCAGCTCTGTGTGCTGGATGTCCAGCCTCCCTACCATGGGAAAGCTGAAATGCAAAGAAACACATTTTAGTTTTAACTATCAGCCTTTGAGCTTCCAAAACCCCACAGTCCAGCAACTTAAGAGCTCTTCAGGACAGGCACAGTGGCTCACGCCTGGAATCCCAGCCCTTTGGGTGGCTGAGTCAGGAGGGCTTGAGCCCAGGGGTTCAAGACCTGCCTGGGCAGCACAGGGAGGCCCTGTCTCTACAAAAAATAAAAAATTAGTTGGGTGTGGTGGCTTGTGCCTGTAGTCCCAGCTACTCAGGAGGCTGAGGTGGAAGGATTGCTTGAACCCAGGAGGAGGCAGCTGCAGTGAGCCAAAATCACGCCACTGCTCTCCAGCCTGGGTGACAGAGGGAGACCTGGACTCAAAAACAAAACAAAAAAAAAAAAAAAGGAAAAAATCTCTTCAAGGGTAACACGGGGGTCGGGTCGGGGGTGTGGAAGGCGTGGCTGCAGCTGGACTGGGCCAGGGATGGGGCTCTGCCTCTGCCGGCTTCATTCTGTGGGTGGCGCAGCCCGGAGAGGTTTTCTGTAGCGATCTTCGTGGGGGCGGAGCCTGCAGGCCCTGGGGGGTGGGGGGCAGAGCATGGCCTGTGGTGAGCTTGTTCCAGGACACGAAGGTGGTGGCTTGGGTTAAGGCCGGGACTGCCTGGTGCCCACGTCAGCTGCGTCTGTTTCCCTCCCAGGTCGTCAGGCCGACGTTCACACCCCCAGTGCCCCCAGTCAAACCCGGGGCTGGCACAGCCAAGCCTGGTGCAGCTGAGGTGAGGCCCCAGCACACACCGGGCGGGGTCCGCTGGGGGGCGTGGCCTCCCACTGGCTCACCGTGGCACTGCCCTGGAGGGTGGGGTTTTTCTAATTATCTGTGGATACACCTTCCCCATGGTGCCAGGGAAAGGCGGTGAGTATCCCGTGACGTCTGCGCTGCCATCAGGGGACTTCCCAGCAGACGCTGCCCCCACCCTCCGGCTGTCGGTGGTGCCTGACTTTCCCCACAGCAGCTACAGGGAAGAAAGTCTCCTCTGTGGCAAGCGGGCTGTTAATCCTGCGGCTGCCACGCCGCCGGCATGCAGTAGGCCCTGCTGTTGGTGGATGAACTAAGAATCTACGTTTTAAGAAATGTTAAAGGAAGTAAAATTTAGTTGTGCCTTTTATAACAGGTGGTTTTCAACATCAGTTATCTCTTCCTTCTCCCAGGGGGCTGTTGGCCCAAAGGTTGCCCTGAAGCCCCCCATCCAGAGGAAGCCAGGGGCCGGAGCTCCCACACTGCCCTAGGGGCACCTGTGCCTGCCTGGAATTTTGGAGAAGTTGCAGCGGAGCAGCCAGCCTTGCGGCATTCCAGGGCCCAGCCAGGGCCACGCAGCCCAGGACTCCGAGTTTGCTTACTCAGCTGCTGTTCTGACCTCAGGAATGCATCCAGCTGAGACTCCTGCTGTCCAGCCCCTCAGCCACTCCCTTCTCCCACCTTGGCCACGCGTAGCCACAGCCGCCTGCTGGCATCAGGCCAGGATGAGCTGTGTGCCTGTGCCTGCACGTGTACGTACGTGTCTCCAGGAGGCCACACACGGCCCCTCCTGGCTATGCCTGCCCTGCCCTGCCCTGTGGCCTCTGAACCCTCTGCCCTGGGGACCCCATTCCGGGCAGCATAGACATGGAAGATCCCCAGAAAGACCCCATCCCAGGACTGGGTTACCCTGGGTGCTTTTCAAGAGGGTGTCAGTGAGCAGACTGTACCCCAAGACTCTGGACTCCAGACCCCCTGATCCTGGGGCCCGTTACCCATGGGATGTGAGAGGAACAGCCCCAGCTCTGTGTGCTTAAGCTTAGGAATCACCTTGGTGGCAAGGGCCGCATGGGAGGGTCAGCTGTCTTGTCCCGTTTTCTTCATACCTCAAATGTGCGTTCAGCGGGGCTGAAAGCTTTTATTCTTTAATACTGAGAAATGCATATTTTCCTAATAAATTATTGACCAAGTTCTAAATGACGGAGATTCCTGTTAGATCCGCTGGGAGGGGGCGTGACTTTCAGTTCACCAGATACAAGGGTCGGCGCTTGGTAAAATGCGGACTGCAGATAGATCAGGCCGAGCCCTTTCACCTCCCTTCCTGGATTTCCACCTGTGGAAGCAGCCCCGCCATTCCCTCAGCGACCGCCCGTGCCCCACCGCGTCTCCTGGCCAGGGCCCCGCCTGCCACTCCACCACCACGTGGGCTCCCGCCGCCGCCCCGCACGGCCTCCGCATGCTCTCACCCAGCCACCCCAGCGCCGCCTGGCCCGAGACTTTGGCAACGGCGGTGGGTGTGTGCATCTGAGAAGCTGTGGAGTCCAAGGGGCACCCCGTGGCCAGGGCCTGCACCCTCCACCCAGGAAAAGCAGCAAATGGCCGGAGGCGCCCCTCCCGGCAGCTCACTGACACCCCAGAGTCTGGGGCTGCGAACCCCACTTTGCCTTTGCTACATCGACTCAGCCTTTAGATCTGTAGGATCCTGGGACTCCAGCATCCACATGGTCCCACCACACGCCGGCAGTGCCCAGCCCCTGTGCCTCTGAGGAAGTGGCTTCTGCTCCTGGGCACCTGGGCAGCCAGTCCGAGTGGGAGACGTGTCTGGTGCTGCCCCAAGGAGGCCTGACCTTGTCCATCTGTGTCCCCTCAGCCTGTGGCCCAGCCCCACCCCCACAGGCGCTGCCTCCGTGTGGCTGCTCCGAGGCAGAGCCCTAACCTGACAGCACCCATCTGTCACGCAGGCTGCCAAGCCCCAGCTCCCTTCAGCATGAAGAATGAGAGTGTTCTGAGGGGCAGACCACGGCGCTGCAGAGGGTGGGCTGCCACATCTCAAGCCCTCTAGCCCCTATGCCTCCCTCCTGTCTCCCCAGCCTCCACCACCCCATTCCCTCCATGGCTGGATTCAAGCCTGGTGTCTGCCTTGCAGTGAGGACCCAGCCGTTGGTGGCCAGAACACATAGACCCCGGGCTCCAGCTGCTGCTAGAGGATGAGGGGCAGGTGCTGGCACTTCTGCAGGAGGCAGTCAGGGTGCTGGCGACCTGGCGCCCTTGCTGCCTGGACTCCCTGTGGCTGAAGGATTGGGAAAAGGCGTGTGTAGAGCCCTGCAGAGAGGACATAGTCTTCCTTCTCTCCAGCCATCCCCAAAAGGCAGATATTTGCTGAGCAGCTGTGGGCACCAGCTCTTATCACCTGGGGGTGCTGGCTGGCAAGCCTGCCTGCTGCCCTACAGCCAGAGCTGAACCCCTTCTGCCAACCTCAGACACACAGAAGACAGCCAGAGGGCCAGGGTCCTGGGCAGCACCAGAATAGCCCAAGACTCCACATAAGCACTTAGATATGCAGTCCACACCTGGCTCTGTGGGTGCACGCCTGGATTGCAGTTTACACCTGGGTCTCAGTGTGCACCTGGATCTTAGTTCACACCTGGCTCTGTGGGTGCACACCTGGATTGCAGTTTACACCTGGATCTCAGTGTGCACCTGGGTCTCTGTCCATACCTACGTCTGTGGGTGCACACTTGGTTCTCTGTCCACACCTGGCTCTCTGTGCACACCTGGCTGGCAGTGTACACCTGGTTCTCAGTGCATACCCAGCTCTGTGGTGTAAATCAGCCTTGATGGGCTCTGTGGGCCTGTGCCTGGATCTGCAGGTGCATACTGGCTCTTTCACCAGGGGTCTCCAGTTCTCCTGCATGCAGGAAGCTCCTTGCCACAACTGCCTCCTCCAGCTGCAGCCTGCAGGACCCTTAAGGGATGTGCTGGCTCCACAGAGACGCTCACTCCAGCCTGCTGGGCGGCACATGGCCACATCCGTGAGAATCCCTCCCACCCCGGTGCCTGCCTCGGGCACAGTGGCCATAGGAGAGGTCGGCCGACTGCCTCCCAAACCTGCCCATACTGGAAGCACAGACCCAGCCAGTCTCCAGCAGCAAGAAATGTGACTCCCGCCGGATCTGGAAAAGCTGAGCTGCCTCAAATGACGTTTCCCAGGTGAAGCCCAGGAGTGACGGCCACACATGGGCAGAGCTGGGTGGCAAGGTGGGTGCCGGCGCTCAGCAGCTCCAGCCAGACCAAGGTCCCAGTGTGGAGCCACCACCAATCCCAGCCATCCCCACAGTGTCCCTTGCTCAGAGACAAACTGCAAAGGGCAGGTGGCCTTGAGGTGGGAAGCACGGCCCCGGTGCTGCGCCTCTGCCCGAGGACACAGGAGGCACCTGCTCTTCATGGCCCTCCGTGGCCCAGGCCACTCACTGTCCCTGCCAGGGGGCCCCGCAGACTCCTCCAGGGCACCCACCTGACCCCATCTGTGAATCTCACAGCCACAACAGCTGAGCCAGGGCACCCTGTGGAGTCGCCTCCGGATTTCATAACGCAGCTGTGATTCACGCTGCCTCATGTGGGCCACGGAGCCCCGGCTGGGATGCCAGCAGCTTCTCTCCCTGCCACTGCTTCCTCTCTGCCAGGCTGTGGTCAATCTCAAGCCACAGAATGACACCTTTCCTGCCTTCCCCTGAAAACAACTCATCCAGATTCAGGTGCCTGCTCAGGAGCTGTGATGTTGTCATCATTTCTGAGAACCCCTTTGGCCCCAGGGCCTGCTGGGCAAGCCCCCCACACTCTGTCCTGCGTCCCGGCCACCACCTTGAGGTTCTGCTCTCCCCGGTGCCTGGGCCAAGGGCTCAGCCCCCCACAGATCTCAAGAATGAAGTTCAGGGCCACAAACCTCAGGAGGATTGCAGAGCCGCCTCTGGGGATGAAGGCAGCTAAGAGCAGCTGCTTCCTCCATGAGTCAGAAGGCAAGGCCCCCTCCCCCGACGGGCGGCTGCTGTGTGGTCCTGCAGGGCGGCTGACGCGCAGTCCCCTCCACCCAGCATCCCTGCAGCACATGAGCTGAGAGGGCGGCTTCCCAAAGACAGGCCTGGCCCGCTGTGGTCAGCCACCCAGGGCCACCTGTTCCCAGAGCCCTCATCTCAAAGCCAGGGCGGAGCTGCCTCGAGGAAGGGGCCATTCCCAGGGGAGCAGCCCCTCAGTGCATGCCACTGTGGGCTGGGGCGAGGCCACAGCCAGGGCAGTCCACAGGGTCTGCCGTCTCCCCCGTGTCAGGGGGACTATGGGTCCTGGCTCAGGAGTCTGGGTCGTGCTGGGTCCTGAGCATGTCAGGCTGCCAGCAGCGCTCCTGGAATCAAGAGCAGGGAGATACTTCCCTGAGCCATGGACCCCTTAGAGAAGGGGCTCCTACAGCACAGACTTCAGCGGTCCTGCAGCTGGGCTGGGCGGGAAGTGCGGTGGAACGGCTGGGCCAAGAAGTCTGAGCCAACCCAGGCCCAGGTGGCTTCTGTCGGGAGCTGCGGTGGTGCCAGGCCCCGCCCTACCACCTCAGGCGGTGATGGCACAGGCCACAGCCCACCTCCAGGGCCCCCACACGCTCCTGCGCACCCAAACAGGAGAGCGTGCCACTCTCGAGGAGCCTGCTCCCTCCAAAGAGCCAGAAGCAGGCCCCATGCCAGGGACACACCACAGTCAAAAAGGCAGGTGCCAGGAGACCACACCCCAGACGCCACAGGCAGGACCAGCTCACCCCCCAAAAGATAGACTCTCAGGAGGCCTCTGCGGGGTCCCTGGCGTGGCCAGGGCCTGGGCGGTGTGAGGCTGGTGCTAGAGGGTGTTGAAGCTGGGAACCCTCTTCAAGAAGTGTGGACCCCATCCTGGCTGAAGGAGAAGTTGTCAGGGCGGGGCTGGCCCTTGGGAGGTGCTGCAACTCCTGTGCAGGGTACCCCAACTGAAGAGAGACCACCAGACCAGGCAGGACCCCGACTAGGGAGAGACCACCAGGCCACATGGGACCCCGACAGGGCAGAAGGCACCAGACCACGTGGGACCCTGACTGGGTCCACGTGGGACCCCGACTGGGGAGAGACCACCAGACCACACGGGACCCCGACTGGGGAGAGACTACCAGACCATGCGGGACCCCAACTGGGGAGAGAACACCAGACCACACGGGACCCCGACAAGGGCAGAAGGCACCAGACCACGTGGGACCCTGACTGGGGAGAAGCCACCAGACCAGACCATGCAGGACCCCGACTGGGGAGAGACCACCAGAGCACGTGGGACCCCGACTGAAGAGAGACCACCAGACCACGTGGGACCTCGACTGGAGAGAGACCACCAGACCATGTGGGACCCTGACTGGGGAGAGACCACCAGACCATGTGGGACCCCGAATGGGGAGAGACCACCAGACCATGTGGGACCCCGGTTGGGGAGAGACCACAAGGCCACACTGGGACCCTGACTGGGGGAGAGACCACAAGGCCACACTGGGACCCTGACTGGGGAGAAGCCACCAGGCTGCCCCGGAGTGGGAGCCAGGACCTCAGCACTGGGTACCCGTAGCGGTGCCGTGCCCATCCCTAGACGCTGCTGAATCCTGGCCTCTCCCTGCTCTGGGTGTGTGGTGGGGAGGGGCTGCTTCTTTCCATCCTCACCCGGCCTTGCCCTTGGCCGGCAAAGACCCCAGAGGACAATGAGACCCTTGGGAGCTCCTTGGGCTCAGGGGTTCTGAGTGCCCATACTGGGACCTTGGGTGGCCGAGATGCCACATGACTTCTATATCCTGCCCTCCAGCACCCACCTGCACCAGGCCGTCTCCCTGCCCACGCAACCAACTACGAAGCAAGTGCCCTCCACTGGGAAGGAGAGCAAGGAGTAAAACATGCCGCCAGGAGTGGGGAGTGCCACGAAATTGGGAGGAACTGCCACGGAGGAACTGCCACAGCAGCTGGAGGGGCACAGGCCCAGAGCAGGAGTGGGGAATGCCACAAAACTGGGAAGAACTGCCACGGAGGAACTGCCACAGCAGCTGGAGGAGCACAGGCCCAGAGAGAGGGTGGGTAGAGCCAGCAGTGAGAGGCCAGGAGGGGCAGGGGAGGTGGAGAGGCGCTTTCCTGGGTGGAGAGGAGCTTTCCTAGGTG